CTGTTATCGACTAAAATTATAGCCACCTCTTATGAAACCCCCAATCTGTCATTGTTTAGAATACAGCAGATATAGGTAACTGTCCTTTCTAAGTAGGCTACAAATAACACCAAACACATTCCGTAGTTGACCAGCATATATTGAATTTATCTCCATAGTATTAATATCCAATGTAGTGATTGACGTTCCTTAATGGAAACCCTAAATTGGCTTTGTACAATATTATATTAATTATGTCTCACCCATGACATATGTCTACGTTTGGGTGAGCAAGTTAATATATAATTATTATTCCAATTATTATTTTATGAAGTCTCTAGCCTCTCATTCAACACAAATCCCCATCATCAAATATACTCCCAGCAGAACTGAAAAAACAAAAACAGACTGTGATTTCCAGGACACTGCTCCTTTGTTCTGGCCTCACTATCTCTCCGAGAGTTGGCACTCCCTTAAGGTCTTTCCCAATCTGCTCTTGGTAAACTGCAAACCTTTTAACCTCAATATGTGTTGCTGTGCTTTTCTCCACCCTATCAAAGTATTTTTAATGGTCCTGCTTATCTCTGGTCTCATTCCACTAAGGAACGCTATATTTGTAATTGCTGATGGTAGGGCGTATCATTCCCCTGTCTCTGGTCTGGCTCGGGTATGCCACTGTTTGCGTTTAAACACACCTTTAACCCTCTCTAAGTACTGGCTGACAGTCTCACTATTCTCTTGTTTACACTTATGTACTTTAGAGAAGTCTGCATGACGATGGTAATGTTCTCTGAGGCTATTACACAATTCAGTTATTTTCCCAACATACTCTCCGTGATCGGCCCATGGCAAAAGTGCCCTCTGGGCATCCCCTGAAACCCACTGCCCTCTAACGGCAGCCCAATCCTTACTATTCCTGTTTTGGGGTGGGTCATTCTTTCTACCGCTCTGGCCACGTCCTCTGTGTTCATGGCCTGTCTGCTAAATGGCATATTATTATTATTATTGCTGTATACATCTAAGGTTGCTGGGGCCACTTTCATTCCCCGCCAATAGATTAGGTAAGGCTATCAGTGGGTACTGGCCCCCTCCTACTCTCTCATCTCCTGACTCATACTGACTCCCTCCTGAGCTTAGCTCTGAATCCTCCTGTTCCTCTCTTTTCTGTTTCTTTAGATCATTACCACAATTTACATGCATTTGTTTAATCATGGATTCCAGTTTATTTACATCAAGTCGCCCAGTAAAGCCATTTTTTATTTTTATTTTTTATTTTTTTATTAGGTAAATAATACACATTTTGTTTGTCTCTAATTTCCATGTATTTCTCGTCCCCAGTAAATTCTGGGACCTCTTGTGAGGATTTGCCTCCCATGGTTGGTACTGTTAAAAATCCCTTAGCCACCTCTTCTATATAACAAGTTATTCAAAACAGTTTCACACCACACCTGGAATCACCCCTTCCTGTATAGGTACAACAGGTTGACTAGTCCCCCAGAATTATCTCCTACTCTACGGAGGAATTTATCCCCACAATGTAATCTTGATAATTCCTGACAGTCCCATACAACAGGAATGGGTTCTCTATACAACCACCTGGAATTATTCATAGATGTGACATTTGAACAAATATTAGGTCTCACATGTATACAACCTTACATGATTATTGGTTAACACCATCGGTAACCCGGAGTTTGTAAGGCTCCAGTTTCATGAAACGGATAGAGTTACGGCAAAATCTACAGTTGTTTGTGACTTTTGACTTTACTAATATTCTATTTCTCACACATGCTATTTTAATTCCTTCTGGTGTACACCCCTCCCTGTATTTAGTTATCCCGGATTATTTGTTGAACATTACTGTTCTATAATCTACTACAGGTTCTCTGAATACAGGGTAGTTTATTTTGGTAATGGCCTATTATCGTGAATCGTTACGGACCCACCCTGAGCAATCCCAGACTGCCCCAATTAATGAATAAAGACTACTGACCTTATCCTTACAGCCGAGATTCAATGTAGGTTTGGATTCCGTCAACGTCTCTGTCATTAATCAGGTGTCCTCTGGCCTGTCTTAACCCTTAATGTCAAAGGGCAGGACTTTCTATTTACGAATGTATCATTCGCTCGTCAACGGTTTTCAGAGTTACCTGGAATGACAGAGGCAGGTATTGGATTCCGGCTCAGAAGGACCAAGCTGTTATGTGAATTATTTAACAAACTATTTCAGTGTCTCTGTGCGTCTCCCAAAATCAAGAAACGGACAGAGTCCCAGTCTGCATAGTCAGAGATTTATTCATTGAGAATTCTGCCATCACAATTTCAGAGTCCATCTTTTATACTCACACGTCATACAAAAATCCCTCCCCTCTTTAGGCGGGCTGTAGTTTTCCACTTTAAAACTGCTCTCCTGACCATCAGTTCACACACACACACACACACACATACATACACACACACACACACACAAATACACACACACACACATGCATACACACATACATACACACACACATACATACACACACACATGCATTCCTTAGTTATCGCCGTCCTCACAATATCCTGCATACTCCTTAAAAAGCCTAACAGTCTCTCTCCTCCCTAAATTGGGAGGCCCCTTTATCTTGGTTTCTCAGTTGTCTGTAGACAGCTCTCCTTGTCCTTTGTTGTCTGGTCTAACTCTTACTCACATTGCTAAATAGTAGCTCAATGTCATAGTCTTTACTGGTCCTACACTCACACATTCTAACACATTTTACACAGTTTCAGGGTGTAATAATTAGTCATTAATAATTAATCTATCAGTTAGTAAGTCCCCTCCTCTCAGAGGCCTCGTACTGTAGGATCAGTTAGAAGGAGGATACAACAGTGTGTTGAGTGTCTGTGTTAACCTGGTCACACATCTGTTTGTGCTGTATATAGCTAACTCCTATGTTTACCTGGAGCTAACCCTGCAGATAGCACTACTGGGTGATCTGAAAAGTCATAGTCAATCAATCAATAATATAATAGCAAAAATGTTTATTTTCAAATAACAATCTGTAGAAACAATGAGAATAGAAGGGTTCAGAACTTTTGTGAAACATCAGAGTACAGTTGAAAAATATATGGCAAATAGAAATCCAATATGGATGGTGTTAAGAGATAGATGGGAGGTGTTGAATGGAGCTGAAGGATGGGACAAATAACAACTAACAACAACTAATAACAACAAGATAACTAATGTAAAGCATACTGTGTCCATAATAAGTATATAGGTTATAGGTTGAGAGCTTTTGGGAAAGAGCACAGTTAGAAAGATATGGCATATAGAAGCAAACCGGATGGAAATCATGAAAATGATCGGAGAGGTTGAGGGTAGAGGAAGTTCAGGATTAAAAACAAACAAAATATAATTATTGTAAAATTGACTGTGTCCATAAAATGTATATACTATGTATGAGCTGGAAGTAGAGGCCAAAGCGTTGTTGTTCATATGTATGTACAGTACATACAGTGAGGGAAAAAAGTATTTGATCCCCTGCTGATTTTGTACGTTTGCCCACTGACAAAGACATGATCAGTCTATAATTTTAATGGTAGGTTTATTTGAACAGTGAGAGACAGAATAACAACAAAATCATCCAGAGAAACGCATATCAAAAATGTTATAAATTAATTTGAATTTTAATGAGGGAACTCACCCAAGATTTGACGGTACATGGCCCCGTCCATCGTCCCTTTGATGCGGTCTCAACACGTCACAAGAAAGAGAAGAAAGATAACTTTATTTTTATGGGTGTTAATTTTTGTGGAATTGAAAAAAGTAATAGTTTAATACAGTTGAAATGATTACAAATGAAATTCCCTGAAATGAAAGCAACTTCCGAAAATGAACACTCGGATTATAGTGATATTATGTCTGATCTCGCAAACAATGTAAAGTATGTTTACATGTAAATGGGTGAAATCTAGAGCCAAGCATGTTGATTTTTAATCCGCATTTGACACACGTGTGTAATTATGCAACAGAACGTGACAACAACAGTAATTAATGAGGCAGTCTAGACAGCACAGGTGAGTCCATGTAGACCTAGGCCCCTAGATAGAGCAAGGTTTTGGTGGTTGCAGCCCCATTCCACCCCTTTACGTTAATGTATTAATATATGCAAATACACCCAGTGTATTTATGCAAATTAGGCACATTATCATTTTCTTTATTTTAACACAAAATACCTGATACCATTAGAAAATGTAGATATGAGTGCAATCTAAGATAAAAAAAATTATAAAATAAACATTTGACAATAAATTGAATATCTGAATTCCCACCAAAATCCCTGGACTCATTAATTGTTATAAGGTTTGGAGGATCTTCATCTTCATCTTCATCCATTGTCCAACTGTTGCGTTTATTAGAATTTTTTCAAAAACAAATTGACAATTTTGATGACCGTTGCTACAATGACTGTTGCTACAATGACGTGTCAAACTCATTCCATGGAGGGCTGAGTGTCTGCAGGTTTTCGATCCACCCTTGTACTTGATTGATGAATTAAGGTCACTAATTAGTAAGGAACTCCCCTCACCTGGTTGTCTAGGTCTTAATTGAAAGGAAAAACCAAAAACCTGCAGACACTCGGCCCCCCTTGGAATGAGTTTACACCCCTGCTGTAGGCTTTACAGCACAAACAGATCTGAGACCAGGCTAGGTCTGTGTGATGTTGTACACAGAAACCCAATGATGGAATTGGAGATTCACTGAGTGACACGTCGGTTACTGGCTGGCTGAGTATGTAGACTTTTGACTTTGATCTCTAAAACCCCTGTGATGAGTGATGATACATGTCTGGTAGTGTCTCCTTATTCTCTATAGAGAGAGAAAGAGAGAGAGAGAGAGAGAGAGAAGAGAGAGAGAGAGAGAGAGAGAGAGAGAGAGAGAGAGAGAGAGAGAGAGAGAGAGAGAGAGAGAGAGAGAGAGAGAGAGAGAGAGGAGATCCTGAGTGCCTACCTGCTGTGATCTGTTCATAGCCATAAGGATGAGGTTATTGTCCTGGCTGACCTCTGAGTTGACCTCTTACCTCTAACCTCTGACTCTGTGTGCAGCCCTACTAAGATCACCCTGATAGGAGCGGTGCTGTTTGCCCTGCAGCAGACCCAGTACCTGCCCATCCAGAAGCACCACCTCATGCTGCTGTACACCGTCTTCACCGTTGTCAACAAAGTTAGTCACTAACCTGACCCTGATCCTAACCCCTGACCCTGACCCTATCCCTAGCCTGAACCCTAACCCTAACACTCACAGGGCAGGGCGTCTACAAAGACATAGGGCCAGTTTCCTGGACCCAGATCAAGATAGATAAAGCCTACACCTGGACCAAAAAGCATGCTCAATGGAGAATCTCTGAAAATACTTTTTAGTCCAGAAATGGCTTCAATCTCGATCTGGGAAACCTCCCGATACATAATGTTTATGGCAATCAAACAACATTCTTTCTCCATGTTGACTGTCTCACAGCATCCAGTCCATGTTATTTGAATGACCTACCTTACTTATATTTAGATATGACTCAACTTTAGACTTAGTATTGCCCCTAGCAGTAGAATTTTGCATAATTCATCTCGTTGCATCATTCCTCCTCAATACTCTCACTCTGAGAGAGGTCTTCTGCTCTTGACATCTTATAAATCTAACCACAGGTTTTCAGAACGCTCCCAACTGTTAGATTAGAGTTCACCCATCACCTCAATAAAGTTACATTTAATCTGATAAGTCATTTGATAAGTCATTTGATAAGTCATCTGATAAGTCTTCTGTCTACTTCCTTATGAGTCATTCTGTAGTCAGTGTATTCTCATCACTCCACCCTGTCTCTCCTTCTCTTAAAACCCTTCCATCTATTTCTTTTTTCCCCAGACAAATATGATGCTGACCGGCTCCTCCTCTTCACCCTTCGCTCCCATCGAGTCTGTTGTGCACCGCACGTTCTTTGCCTGGCCATCACCATCCACATGTACCATTTTCACCTCTGAGACCAAGACCCCTGTAGTGAAGAAACCGTCCACAGATAGCTCCTTGACCACTAAGAAGGGCACCGGTGAGAGCTTGAGCGGCGCAGCGGTCCCCGAGACCTCCAAGACCCCATGGTCCCCGTCCAAGACTGCAGCACACAACAGGGGAAAGGCCTCACAGAAGAAGGCCAAAGAGCAGCCAGAGAATACTGAGACGGAGAGCTGCAAGAAGAGTGACTAGAGCTCTTATACTGCATTGTACTGAATATTAATATAATCTATAGAACGGACAGTTGTTTAGCACACTGCAATTTGACTGGTAAAGCCATGGGTACACTTAATGGGGCTGTCCATTCAATAAATTATATGTATATGCTGTACTGCCCTCCTTATCCTGGCTAGGACAATCTATTCTCTGTGTCCTGTCGTCCTGTCGTCCTGTGTCATCCTGTCGTCCTGTCGTCCTGTTGTCCTGTCGTCCTGTGTCATCCTGTCGTCCTGTGTCGTCCTGTCGTCCTGTTGTCCTGTCGTCCTGTGTCATCCTGTCGTCCTGTGTCGTCCTGTGTCGTCCTGTCGTCCTGTCGTCCTGTGTCCTGTGTCGCTGTCGTCCTCGTTTGTCTGTTCCTGTGTCGTCCTCTCCCTGTTCGTCCTGTCGTCCTGTCGTCCTGTGTCGTCCTGTGTCGTCCTGTCATCCTGTGTCGTCCTGTGTCGTCCTTCCTGTGTCGTCCTGTTCGTCCTGTCGTCCTGTCGTCCTGTGTCGTCCTGTCGTCCTGTCGTCCTGTGTCGTCCTGTCGTCCTGTGTCGCCTGTCGTGTCCTGTCGTCCTGCTGTCCCTGTGTCGTCCGTGTCGTCCTGTGTCTCCTGTTCCTGTCGTCCTGTCGTCCTGTGTCTCCTTTTGTCTCCTGTCGTCCTGTCGTCCGTATCCTGGTCCTGTGTCCGTGTCGTCCTGTCTCCTGTGTCGTCCTGTGTCGTCCTGTTGTCCTGGTGTCTCCTGTGTCATCCTGTCGTCCTGTTCGTCCTGTCGTCCTGTGTCTCATCCTGTGTCTGTCCTGTTCCTGTCGTCCTGTCGTCTCCGTGTCATCCTGTTCGTCCCTGTCGTCCCTGTCGTCCTGTGTCGTCCTGTCGTCCTGTGTCGTCCTGTCGTCCTGTCGTCCTGTGTCGTCCTGTTGTCGTCCTGTGTCGTGTCCTGTGTCATCCTGTTCGTCCTGTGTCATCCTGTCGTCCTGTGTCTGTCCTGTGTCATCCGTGTCCGTCCTGTCGTCCTGTGTCCGATTCCTTTCGTCGCCTCGTCCTGTTCTGTCGTCCTGTCGTCCTGTGTCGTCCTGTTGTCCTGTCGTCCTGTGTCATCCTGTCGTCCTGTCGTCCTGTGTCGTCCTGTCGTCCTGTGTCTCCCTGTCGTCCTGTCGTCCTGTGTCATCCTGTCGTCCTGTCGTCCTGTGTCGTCCTGTCGTCGTGTCATCCTGTGTCATCCTGTCGTCCTGTGTCATCCTGTCGTCCTGTTCCTGGTCGTCCTGGTCTCTGGTCCGTCGTCTGGTCCTGTGTCATCTGTCGTCCTTGTGGTCCTGTCGTCCTTGTCGTGTGTCTCTGTCGTCCTGTGTCATCCTGTCGTCCTGTCGTCCTGTGTCTGTCGTCCTTGTCGTCCTGCTCTGTCTCTGTCTCCTGTCATCCTGTCCGTGTCGTCCTGTGTCGTCCTGTGTCTCCTGTGTCCACTCTCTCTGTGTCATCCTGTCGTCCTGTCGTCCTGTCGTCCTATGTCATCCTGTCATCCTGTCATCCTGTCGTCCTGTGTCATCCTGTCGTCCTGTCGTCCTGTGTCGTCCTGTCGTCCTGTGTCATCCTGTCGTCCTGTGTCTCCTGTCGTCCTGTGTCATCCTGTCGTCCTGTGTCGTCCTGTCGTCCTGTGTCGTCCTGTTCGTCCTGTGTCCTGTGTCGATCTGTCTGTCCTTCGTCCTGTGTTCGTCCTGTCGTCCTGTGTCGTCCCTGTCGTCCTGTGTCATCCTGTCGTCCTGTGTCATCCTGTCGTCCTGTCGTCCTGTGTCGTCCTGTCGTCCTGTCGTCCTGTGTCGTCCTGTCGTCCTGTTTGTCCTGTCGTCCTGTGTTGTCCTGTCGTCCTGTCGTCCTGTCGTCCTGTGTCGTCCTGTCGTCCTGTGTCGTCCTGTTGTCCTGTCGTCCTGTGAAATGTCTCAATTTGCTACCACACCTTCTTTTACCCTTTGATGTTCATAGATCTGTAAGGTGAAAGCAATATGATGGAAGCTTCACCACTACCCTGCTTATGTTCCTTATATACCTGTCCAGACCCTTCAGATCTTCAAACATCGAAGGGTTATAGCCAAGCGGGAGGAGTAGGGAGAAAATTGGGTCTGGCTGTCTCTCTTTAGAATGAAAGCAAATAGAATCTGTTCTGATTTTAATATATTATACAGTAATGTAGCTCTATTTGACTATTTATACTGAAGCTTTATAATCCTTTTCTAATTCTGCGATAATACATCCTGTTTTCTAAAGAGTTTTGGTAAAAAATACGGTCCTTGGTGCTCATCCACGAATCTCTAGCTGTCAGCCACTTTGTATCTGTAGATAAATAATAATATATTCAGTTTTATGTACCTGTACATTTCCTACTATGAAATGTTTTAAGATTTTACATGAGAATTTATATAATTATTACTCCGATCTTCTATTATATTTATATTCAAGGAAATGCCCTTGAATGTACGCATTTCTAAATGGAATGCTTTTTGCTGCACTTTGCTGCAAACGCTGCCTCTTTTGTGAATGCTTTTAATTGTATTGAAAATTAAATGTTCACATGCACTTTAATCTGAGTTGTTGTCGTTCTTATAGCAACCGAAATACAAAAACTTGGACATTTGTATGATGAACCTTTTAGTTCATACAAATACTGTATGATCAGATATTAATCATATTTTTAGATAAAAGGCCTCCATGTTCTGTGGAGTCAGTTGTTATGAATTCTATTCGACATATTCTTCTATATCTGTTATTATTGTTAGCTGTGGTCATGTCCAGGGCAAGTGTCTCTCTCTCTCTCTCTTTCTCTCTCTCTCTCTCTCTCTCTCTCTCTCTCTCTCTCTCTCTCTCTCTCTCTCTCTCTCTCATGTCCAGGGCAAGACACATTTAACAAGGCAAAGGAAAGGTCAGATTTAGCTGTATCAATATCTCAGTCTGCTTTACCTTTTTTTTTTTTTTACCTTTATTTAACTAGGCAAGTCAGTTAAGAACAAATTCTTATTTACAATGACGGCCTACACCAGCCAAACCTGGACGACGCTGGGCCAATTGTGCGCCGCCCTATGGGACTCCCAATCACGGCCGGTTGTGATACAGCCTGGAATCGAACCAGGGGGTCTGTAGTGACACCTCAAGCACTGAGATGCAGTGCCTTAGACCGCTGCGCCACTCGGGAGCCTTTAAATGGAAAAGAGGTGTAATTATTTTAATTATGTCTCTGTCTATGGCTTGTAATTGCCCTAATGATGTCTTAAATCATTGATTTGGAACAGAAACCAATGGGAGCTGACAGACGTAACCTTTCATCCTTTAAGATGAAAAGAGAGTGAAACATTGCATCATTGTAGCATCAGAACGTGATTGATACTTCATCCACTTTCACCAGCGTAGGAAAATAACATTCAGAAATCCAGAAATCCTTCAAATTCACAAGATTACCTTTTGAGTTTGGAAAAGAGTCCCACAGGAATACAAATTAAGAACAGAGGTGGCGTTCAAAGACTAGGAGTAAATGAGTGTTGTAGCAGCAGATATCTGTCTGTCTGTAATGATCAAAGTCCACAGAGGTGCCACCACCTCCGCATGTCAATTAGAGTGCCATCTACCTCTTGTGTGTGTGTGTGTGTGTGTGTGTGTGTGTGTGTGTGTGTGTGTGTGTGTGTGTGTGTGTGTGTGTGTGTGTGTGTGTGTGTGTGTGTGTAATGATTCTCAGGGTGAACTCTGAGCCTTGGGAAGTTTAAAGTAACATTTACAGGCAGGGATTATGTGCCTCTGTGTTTCTCTCTCTTTCTCTCTCTCTATCTCTCCGTCTCTCACTCCGTCTCTCACTCTCTCTCCCTCTCTCTCTCTCTCTCGCTCAATTCAATTCAATTTCAATTCAATGTAAGGGCTTTATTGGCATGGAAAACATACACTGCTCAAAAAAATAAAGGGAACACTAAAATAACACATCCTAGATCTGAATGAATGAAATAATCGTATTAAATACTTTTTTCTTTACATAGTTGAATGTGCTGACAACAAAATCACACAAAAATTATCAATGGAAATCAAATTTATCAACCCATGGAGGTCTGGACTTGGAGTCACCCTCAAAATTAAAGTGGAAAACCACACTACAGGCTGATCCAACTTTGATGTAATGTCCTTAAAACAAGTCAAAATGAGGCTCAGTAGTGTGTATGGCCTCCACGTGCCTGTATGACCTCCCTACAACGCCTGGGCACGCTCCTGATGAGGTGGCGGATGGTCTCCTGAGGGATCTCCTCCCAGACCTGGACTAAAGCATCCTGGACAGTCTGTGGTGCAACGTGGCGTTGGTGGATGGAGCGAGACATGATGTCCCAGATGTGCTCAATTGGATTCAGGTCTGGGGAACGGGCGGGCCAGTCCATAGCATCAATGCCTTCGTCTTGCAGGAACTGCTGACACACTCCAGCCACATGAGGTCTAGCATTGTCTTGCATTAGGAGGAACCCAGGGCCAACCGCACCAGCATATGGTCTCACAAGGGGTCTGAGGATCTCATCTCGGTACCTAATGGCAGTCAGGCTACCTCTGGCGAGCACATGTAGGGCTGTGCGGCCCCCCAAAGAAATGCCACCCCACACCATGACTGACCCACCGCCAAACCGGTCATGCTGGAGGATGTTGCAGGCAGCAGAACGTTCTCCACGGCGTCTCCAGACTCTGTCACGTCTGTCACATGTGCTCAGTGTGAACCTTCTTTCATCTCTGAAGAGCACAGGGCGCCAGTGGCAAATGCCAAACGTCCTGCACGGTGTTGGGCTGTAAGCACAACCCCCACCTGTGGACGTCGGGCCCTCATACCACCCTCATGGAGTCTGTTTCTGACCGTTTGAGCAGACACATGCACATTTGTGGCCTGCTGGAGGTCATTTTGCAGGGCTCTGGCAGTGCTCCTCCTGCTCCTCCTTGCACAAAGGCGGAGGTAGCAGTCCTGATGCTGGGTTGTTGCCCTCCTACGGCCTCCTCCACGTCTCCTGATGTACTGGCCTGTCTCCTGGTAGCGCCTCCATGCTCTGGACACTACGCTGACAGACACAGCAAACCTTCTTGCCACAGCTCGCATTGATGTGCCATCCTGGATGAGCTGCACTACCTGAGCCACTTGTGTGGGTTG